AACTTTCCTTTCATCCCCTCTGCCTGAATCCCTGTTCCCATCGAAGTGTGGACCCTTCCGATGCGTAACAGAGATGCTTTGCTGCTGAGGCAACATCACTATCCACAGGTTGGTAGTCTCCAGCAGAAACGGCCAGTCAAGGTGTTGACTTGTATCAGGAATCCTTTGGGAATAATTTGAATATATGAATAGCTACCCACGGATTCAAGACGCAAAGATAAGGCTCAGTGCCCTTCAGTGTGTGATTCTGGAGACATTTGGAAATTTTCTGGAAGGAAAATGTGAAGGTGTGAAAACAGCACGGAAGTTGGCAAAGTAGAAAACCTGCGTTGAATGAAGGCAACGCTCGGGTCAAACTAGAATTAATCCAAGTTGCAACCTGGAAATGAATTAGTAGAGCTTGTGGTGGTGGTGTGGGCACAGTTGGGCAGGCTGTGCCGTTTACCGAAGAGCTGTAGTAGTTTGTTGCCTTTTTTCCAGCTTACACCTACTTTTCTACAGGTAGGAAAGATAAAGAGTGAGGAAATCTAATAATGCCACCGAGGCAGCGAGTGACCTTCATACGTTGCAGCAAGTACCTTGGACTCTTTTGGAAGGGGCGTGGTGGAGAGAGGAAAGATATTTGTAATAGGCTGGTGGTTATTAGAGCTTGTTCGAATCAAGTGGACTTCGTCTTTAAATAAACACGATGACCTTGCTGTTGGTTATCACAGTCGTTGCTTATAGCCAACTGTTTCCAAACATGCCGAAATTCAACGAGGCACCGGGCACTGAAGCAGGATGTTGTGCCTGTAAAAACTAGGTCGAATGCCCGTGTGTTTAGATTTGCGTAGTTGCCCATGAGGAGTATTGATGTTGCTTACTCAGCTGTCCCCTTGCTGACTCAGAGCCGCGTAGTTTCAGTCTGCTGCCAATTTTATTTATGAAAAAAAGCATCGTTTTTATTGGCAGGGAGTATAGGCTGCCTCTTGATTCAAGCTGAAGGAAACAGTATCTGAAGCATCCATTGCCTTGCAGTCTTGGCTCCTGATGAGCTACAGGGTTTCTATGCTCTGTCAATTATAGTCTGATCATATTTTTTTGTGGATAAATATGTTTGTTTGTTTGTTTTAGTGGAGAATACTTAAAATTTTATTGCTCCATTGAGAAAAGCAGCAATATACCCT